TCAGGTTATATTTTCATTCCAACTTTTTACATACCGATAGCCTTTTACAAGGCTGTCTCAAGAACTGAACTCAGTTTAATTAACAGTCATTTAACCATATTAACAACAGATTTGTCTGATGTTCTTGTATGTATCAGTTTGTTCCATTACAGCAGACCAGACAGGAGGTTCTTTCTAGGTTTAGACACAAATTGCTGGATAACGAGGCACTCAAGGTAAGGGGCTCCAACATGAGTTTGGCTTGCTGGCCTGGCACACTCTAAAACTATTGGTCTTTGAAAAACAAATAATCATCCTACAGTTGGTAAAGCACTACTGGAATCCACCAGCTGGGATACATAAAGGTCACACTAAGTTTGTTTTATTATTTCAGTTTTTATTCTGCTGGGAAAGGCCTTCCCCCTCCCCTATTTCTGGTAGCAGTTACACTGTCATTCACTTGTGACCTTAGCTGCCACATCAGACATGGAACTTGGTTATTATCTCATAAATACGTGTCTTGCTTTCACCACTGGCATCCAAGAGCCTGCGAGGTTTCTTTCCCAGGCGTTCTTATGAGAGGGAAATATCAGTATATTTTAGGGGATGCAAATTGATTGATTGAACATATTTCTACGTGTTGAAATAGATGTAAAGTCTTACATTAATGGTTTAACTAGACTGTTACTGATTTGCGAACGTTTTACTGCAAGCTAAATTTCATCCACATGAAATTGATGTTGTGTAACTACTGCTATAAATTCACACTCTACACTTCAGCTAGTTTTTCATGTAGATGAATTAAGAGAATCTTTCACTGGTATAACTAAACAAAATTTAAATGATGATTTCAATTAAATCATAAATGTACTTAGACTAAATCACAGAAATTCATGCTTATGCTTTCACCATCTACTCAGTTTTTGCCTTTGCTTCTGGATGCCCAGGATTGCACCTTAGAGGCTTGCTTTCTGAAAAAGGCTGAGAAGTTGCAGACGTGCCTAACTTCAGATGGATTCCCAATTACCACCCCTAGCTCCTTAGAACCAAGCCTTTTGTACCCAGGTCAGAATATTATTCAGATATACACCAAATGTATAATTCAGATCTCAGTGCAGTTCTTGTTAACACTCCTTCCAACTGCACAGATTTTCAGAATAGGTATTCTACACTATAGATACAATCCATGGAGGACTGCATCTAAGAACGATGAAGTCTTACTACAGAAGTAGTAACAATTCCATGTTCAGCAGATGTTTACACAATCCAGTGTTGTCTTGTAGAGCAAGGGACATAACTGGTCACCGCATTTCATTTAAAGTTTACTCTAAAGAAAAGCAAAGAGCAAAACACATTTATCTCACTGAATTCCTCATATATTTGCCTCTGAACTTCTCTGCTCCATAACTTCAAGGAACACATACATAAATTTCAGCACACTTCTCACACAGTTGATGAAATTATTCAACTGCTTCAAAAATACCTAACGTAGGTGAACCGACTAAAAATTGCATCTCCTTAGTTGCTGGCACCTTAAGTAAGTTTCCTGAAATAAATATTTAGAAAGCTTACTTTTTCATCTTAAAGAAAACATTCCCCTAAATCCCCGTAGAATTAACTGCTGTTCAAACAGATTGCTGAGTACAAACTTCAACGTGTATCATAGTATATCAAGAGAGCATTAAACAACAGTTTTCAAGTAAATTGCATACTCTGACACTTGGAACTTGCAACTTGGCAAATGAGGCACTGGTTTTCAACCTGTGTACATCAAGCAGCAACTGGGCAGGGCCACAGCATACAAGACCAGACGTGCATCTCTTGGCTGTGCAATCTAAGGCGCACACACATCATGTGATGAAGAGGTCTGCGTTTTGGTCATGTATGGGACTGTTCTCGAGTTACATGATGGAGAAGGGCTGTGGATTTTCAGGAAAGAGTGGCAGGGAGCAGGTTGCTAGAACAACTCAAACCAAAGTTTGTCTGTTGCTTAGATGTGAAAGCTCCTCTGAGAAGAACAGCAACAGCAAGCAATACTTAGGCTAGACTTAAGTAAAAGATTTTTAAGTAGACCTATTTGGCCTTTCATTGTTACCTTGATTTCAATTACATTAAGTTTTCTGATAAATTCTTAAGTATTACTTATCTGGTTTCTTAGTTTTACTTATCCGGTTTCTAGTGATTTGTTGGTCCAGTACATGAAAACTTGAAAAGGCAGTCACACGGTCAAAATTAGGCATGGTAAAGTAGGGAATGTTTCTGTTGAACCCAAATTTTGATTTGTTTTTCCCCTTCTAGTTTTGAACACACTCCCCTTGTCACATCAATCTTGACTTGACTCCAACTCATTCATAATTATCTCCACATTTTACTTCAGTCCACGCACTTTAAAAAATGAAAAGGCAGCCTGAAGTTGGAGATATGCTTGACTTACAGGAAGTAACAGTGCAGGATAGCTGCACTATACAGCCACATACACAGTAACTAAAACAAAACATGCTATATTCTTGATATGCTCCAGCAGAGTTTGGCTAAACCTAAATGAAAGTGCACTTATAGATCTCACATTTATTAGCAAGGACTCAGTGCCTGCAAGTATTCCAGAACTTCAATATCTATTAATAAACCAGTGGCAGCGTGGAACTGCTATCTGCTGACAAGACAGCCTTGATAATACAACAGCAAAGCTATGATTATACAAGCATTCATTTGAGTTTCCACTGCAGATCTGTTGACACTCCATTTTGAAACATCTGAAGTTTACCATTAAAACTTGACCCTTTTGAAACCTTACAGCCAATTCAAAATGCTTGAAAACTTCTGGATCTGCAGTGAGCACAGACAACTTTCAGCAACAGGGTATGTTTTATGATTGCAAAGTTGTCTTTCTGCTCTGAAACTGTACCACGAATAAGAGGTTAACAACCACAGTTGAGGAAAGCTAGGTCTAAGCACGGTTCTCAATTCACCTGTTTTATCATAAGGTAGATCTTAATTCTTTTACTGCACAATGACATTTAGACTGTTCAGCACTATCGTAGCCCCATTGCCTAATAATAATATCGGGTAGAACAGGTACATAAAGCATAACTCAAAATGCTACAACAGCTGTCATCAGCTTTCCTCATGAAGAGGACAATTCATCAAAGCTTCCTTGCTCATATTACATGAGATTTGTTATCTCCAACACAGATACTACTTTGAGGACAACACAGCCATCACACTAAATAAGGCCCAAATTAGTGCTTAGGCATTATCTCTACATACATTTTTGTGCATACATTCCTGTCTCCGCAGGTGCTAGGCAGGCATGTATGGCACAGTCATGCTCTGGACATTAAGCTTTAGAATTACAAATTCTAGGTACGCCAATTGCTTTGCAAGTCCACATTTTCTAAGTGCAAAAAGGCAATACGGTCCTTGCTGACAGTCTTCCCAAGGGTGCTGTGAGGATAAAAAACTTGTATAGTGTTTTTTTCGTTCAAAGTGCTGTGTGCGGAGTGTATGTGCTACTCACTTTTATGAGCCATCACTGGGCACCTTTTTATGATGGTTAAATTCCTACGAACTTTATTTTCTTCTGTGGGTGAGGAAAGCCCCTTCTCCTGAAGAATACGATTTGATCACTGTCCATTAGCAAGTGTTGCAAAAATGTCAGTATATTATCAAACGCAAAAATATTTCCAATTCCCAAACACCATAAAATTCTCTCATTTTACAACAGTTAAATGCATAAAGGGAAGAGGAGAGATTAGACAGAGTCAAAAAATCACCACCATTGCCATATCTGTACAAAGAAGAAAAGACAACATTTTGGGAGATAGTATCTTCTGAAAGCTTCCAGTGCCTGCTTTGGTGGAAGCTGAAGGCACCATGATACTACCTGAATACAGCAAAAAGTGTTCTGATGTACTATTAAATACCACAGATTTTATGTTCTATGAACCTTCCCAGGCTATGCGAGTCCAGTCCGATAATTATGACCAAAGTACTTTAATGGTTGTTATACCCATTAAAGCTACTATAAGAACCTAAATTTACTCCCACATAAGGACTCTGTGAACAAAAGGGGAATTATTACTGAAAGAGATAGGACGTTAATTGGCAAATAAACACACAAGGAAGCGTTCAATGTCTGTTTGGGACCAGCCTCTATGAACTTGTGCGATCAAATTCAGTACGGATCTGCATGAAGCAGCTTCAGTGCCAGTAGAGACCTCACCAGAGGAGAAAAATCCAACAGAAATATTTTGTGTGTCTGTCTGCGATTTAAACACTGCTGCAGTATACGCGTACTAAGCTTTTTGGTAAAGTATGTAAGCTTCACGGGAAATCCAGGAAGACAAAAAAGACCGTAAGAAATTCTGTACTTTACCCAAAGAATTCAAGGCAGTAATCTCACTGTGAAACTCCCTACTGGTGAGGAAGAAATGCTCGCTTCCAACTATGTTACACTGAATGCCACTTCCTGGGTAACAGGCACCAGTCACAGATGAAGTAGTTATAGATCCACTGAGTGCAACATCACTAGCGTGTGTCAAGAAAAATAATAAAATAATAATAATAATAAAGGATAGATGTGTGTCCTGACTGCCATCAGAGCTGTAAACTCGGGCGATAGTTAACACTGGGACGATGACTAAATACACAACGATTCAGGTCGGTGGCAGGAAGGAGGACGACAGCAGAGACGCACTGAAACAAGGATTCCCGGGGCACACCAGGGCTCGCAGTTCCCTCCCGTGCAAGCCTTTGACAACCGCTCTCACCACCCATCCCACCACGGGAGGCGAAACTTTCCCGTCCCCGCTCCCGCGTGGGGGCTGGCAGCAGGCGGCTCCCCGGCACCCAGCCCGCTTTGTTCTCCGCTTGGGGGCCCGGGGGGAGCCCCCCGATTCCCAACGGGGCTCCCCCGCTGCGGGAGGGCGCCGGGAGGGCGGCCGTGAGCGCCCGGCTCCGCTCGGGGCCGGTCCCTCCCCGAGGCCGCGGCGGGGGGCGAGGCCGCGCTCCCCGCCACTCACCTCTTCCACCTCGATCTCCTTGTAGTCGATCTCCTCGAAGTTGAGCACCGGGGGGGTTTCAATCATCTCAGCGGACGAGGCGGCAGCGGACATCCCTCCTCTGGCACCTGGGGGGACGAGAGCCCGGGGCAGGCCGAGGGGGGGGAGCAGGGCCCGGGGCTACGCGGGGCTCCTCGCCGCCGCCGGCTCCTGCCCTCCGCGGGGGCGCCGGGCGCCGAGGGCCTGGCCGGGACGAGGCCGCATCCGCGGCGGCCGCGGGCCTCAGTGGCGGCGGGCGGAGGCCCCGCAGGCCCCGGCGGCGGCGGCGCCGCGGCGCATCCCGCGCCCTCCCGCACCCCCCCCCTTAGGCCGCGGCCTCCCCGGAGCCCGGCAGCCGCCTACGGCCGCGCGTCCGCGGCGGAGGGAAGGGGGCGCCCCCGGGGTGGTGGCGGCGATACGGGGAGAGAAGGGGGGGGGGGGGCGCTCAGAGCCGCCGCGCCGCCGCCACCGCGGACATGGGAGCCGCTTCCTGCCGCCCCGGGCCGGGCCGGGCCTGGCCGCGACGCGGGGGAGGGAGCGCAGGGGAAGGGGGCGGGATGGGGAACGGCGCCGGCAGCGGCCGCTGCTCCTCGGCCGGCCGCGGCGGGGCCACGGCCTGGCGGCGGCGCCCCCGCCCCCGCCCCCAGCCGCGCCGCTCCGCCCCCCGGCCCCGCCGCACGCTGCCGGCAGGGGGAGCCCCGGCCCCGGCCCAGCCCCAGCCCCGGCCCCGGCCCCGGCCCCGCTTCCTCTTCCTGCCCGCTCCCGGCCCCGGGGCTGTGGTGGCGCCGCCGCCATCTCGTGGTAGCCTGGAAGTGCCCCAGGCTCGTTCCCCGCACACAGCCGAGCCCCACTGTTCGCCTCTGTAAGGCGAGGGGCAGACGGCTGGGTTTTGGAAGTGCCTGACACACGCGTGTGTTTGTACACCCGTACACAAGTGTGTGCGTGTTGCCTCAGCTCTGCCCTCAGAGACGCAGCAGCGGTTTCTCAAGAGGAAGTGTGTGTGGGAGGGTGGCTGGGCAGGGAGTAATTAAGGGAGTGATGCACACACGCAGCACTAAAAGGGGTAGGACTCGTGAGCCAGCACACCTTCACCACTCCCTTTCCTGTCCGCGAGTTATGGCAACAGCCCGCTCTTAACAGCTGGCATGTCTGCTTGTGCTCCTGGCTTGAGGGTGACCTGCTGGAGAGCAGCTCTGCAGAGAGGGACCTGGGGGTCCTGGTGGGCAGCAGGGTGACCACAAGACAGCAAGGTGCCCCTGTGGCCGAGGTGTCCAATGCTATCCTGGGCTGCTATCAGAAGAGTGTTGCCAGCAGGTCAAGGGAGGTGATCCTGCCCCTCTGCTCAGCCCTGCTGAGGCCACACCTGGAGCACTGTGTCCAGTGCTGGGCTCCCCAGTACCAGAGGGACATAGAACTAAGGGAGCAAGTCCAGAGGAGGGCTACAAAGACAATTAGGGGACTGGAGCACCTGTCATACGAGGACAGGCTGAGGGAGCTGGGCCTGTTTAGCATGCAAAGGAGAAGACTGAGGGGAGACCTCATCAATATGTATACATATCTGAGGGGAAGATGTCAAGAGGATGGAGCTGGTCTCTTTTCAGTTGTGCCCAGTGACAGGACGAGAGGCAACGGGCACAAACTGAAGCACAGGAGGTTCTGGCTGAATATGAGGGGGCACTTCTGTGCTGTGAGGATGACAGAGCACTGGGACAGGTTGCCCAGAGAGGTTGTGGGGTCTCCTTCGCTGGAGATATTCAAAACCTACCTGGATGCCAGCCTGCACAAAGTGCTCTAGGTGATCCTGCTAGGCAAGGGGATTGCACTAGATGATCTTCAGAGGTCCTGTCCAATCCCAGCCATTCTGTGAATCTGTGATCCCTGTTTTGGTGCTAGATCTCCTAGGTTTAGTACGTAGGGCTACCCACGGTGCTGAGAGGGAGTGGATGTAGTTGCCTGTCTCTCACTGAAACAGCTGTGCTTCATTTCCATATGTTTAGTCCTCAGTGCTATATATAAAAAGTTATGTTATTGTAAAATACTATTAATGGCACGTAATTTCAGCAGCTCCAGTGAGCTTTCAGTAGATCTTCCTTACTAAAATGCTAGCAAATGTTTGTACCTCACAGTGAAGTCTAGTAAATGGGAAAGAGAGCTGATTTACAGCAGCTAGCCTGAAAAAGCTGCTTAAGCAATTAACTGGGAAAGAGAAGATCAAGATAAGGAGGAATATGGGCAGTAACCTACCAACATGATGGCTCCAAATGTTGCTAGAAAAAGCGAAGTAAAACCAGTCCTGTCACAGGCTATGGCTTTTTGCCATAGATTGTCATTTTGGGTTGTTTGCTCCCTTTTTGCCTTTTCCTGTCAGTCCTGCTGGGAATTCCAAATGTCCAGAAAGCCCCAGACAAACTGTTGTGGTGCAGGTACCAATTGACTGCATTGCAAGCAAGATTAAACTCGTTTCCAGAACAGGTTGGATCAGTGTGGTTACATTGTGCAAGTGACCTCTGTGTGCATGGGGAGCAGGCTCATGTCCTGAATACATCGAATTCCTGTTGCTTACTGATTTTACAATACATTTTGGTCTAGAAAGATCTAAAGAGGCTGGTGTTAGAAATGGGAAGGCTTCCCTTACCACAAAATCTGGTTAATATCTGCTTGATCCTGAAATGGAATAATTAGGAGCCCCTAGTTTCTGAAAGGTTGTATTTAGATTTAGGTGTTCATACTGACTCTGGTGCTCTCAAGATGCATAGTCTCTGGATGATGCAGATCTAGCACCTGATATACCCAGGTGTATGTTGCAGTTTTGCCTTCATGAAAGCTGCCATTAGTGCACACCTTTATCATAGTGTGACATGGAGTCACAAAATAGGCACTTTTGTACCTGGACCTGATGACTTAAGGAAAAACTTATCACTAGTGTACGAGCAGCTGCTGCTACTATGTCAGGTGCTGAGTGTGCAATATGTTGGCTCTTGGAAGATGAAGAATATAGATTTCTGAGGTATTGAGAAATTAGGTTAGATAAAAAACAGACTCCTAACATTTAGACGCTTCTCAGATAAATTTGTAGTGATGAATGGATTGCTTCAGTCCTGTAAACACTTTTAAGATTTTGCACATGGAAAGTAAGGAGGAGATTGGTGACAGCCAGCATGGTTTCACTAAGGGCAGATCATGCCTGACAAACCTGGAGGCCTTCTAGATGAGGTGACAGCATTGCTGGATAGGGGAAGAACAACTGACATCATCTGCCTGGACTTGTGCAAAGCATTTGTCACTGTCCCCCATGATATCCTTTTCTCTAAATTGGAGAGATGTGAGTTCTATGGATGGACCACTTGGTGAGTAAGGAATTGGATGGATGGTTGCACTCAAAGAGTTGTGGTTGGTGGCTCGATATCCAGGTGGAGATCAGTAGGGAGTGGTGTTCCTCAGGGGTCGGTATTGGGACTGGCACTACTTAACATCTTTGTTAATGACATGGACAGTGAAACTGAGTGCGCCCTCAGCAAGTTTGTCAATGACACCAAGCTGTGTGGTGCGGTCAACTCGCAGGAGGGAAGGGCTGCCATCCAGACGGAACCTGGACAGGCCTGAGAGGTGGGCCTGTGCGAACCTCATGAGGTTCAACAAGGCCAAGTGTAAGGTCCTGCACCTGAGCTGGAGCAATCCCAAACACAAATACAGACTGGGTGGAGAACGGATTAAAAGCAGCCCTGGGGAGCAGGACCTGGGGGTGTTGATTGATGAGAAGATTGATATGAGCTGTCAATGTGTGCTTGCAGCCCAGAAAGCCAACCATATCCTGGGCTGAATCAAAGGAAGCGTGGCCAGCAGGTCGAGGGAGGTGATTCTGCCCCTCTGCTCTGCTCTCGTGTGGCCCCACATGGAGTTCTGTGTTCAGCTCTGGGACCCCCAGCAGAAGATGGACATGGACCTATTAGTCCAGAGGAGGGTCACAAAGATGATCAAAGGGCTGGAGCACCTCTCCTACAAAGACAGACTGAGGAAGTTGGGATTGTTTTGGAAATATGGCTGCTTGGGTGGTTGTACTTTAGACGGCAGTTGGTGATCTCTGGTAAATATAATTGAATGTTTGGCTTTCTGTTATGTTTCACAGAACTCTCTTGAGGATACACATCAGGCAAGTGACAGTTGCTGTCTTTTATATTTTAGCAGTGTGATTCCTCCGTTACCTTTATTTTTTTGTTGATGAGAATTAAGAGCACAGAGGACAGCATTCCAATTATAGTTGTTTGTAAGGTTCATTTCCTTTCTGAAATTGATGTAGAAATATGTATCTCAAAAATAATGAGTTCTCTCTTTTGTGAAAGTGGAGTCATCATCATTATCAAAATGTCACTGTTGTGAAGATCAGATAGGGTTTTAAGGAAGTGGTAATTTTGCTGTTACTTCTTTTTGTTTTCTGACTGACAGTCTTAATTAGCTATGTGTTGGGTTTGAGGACTGAGGATAACTTGTACGCTCCCAAAATAGAACACTTTAAATATTTATTCAACAAACACATTTGAAAGGTGAAGGAAAAGAAAAGCACTCCAGCTGCATCCATCATGGGCTTTGTTTATCTGGGAGAAAAGCTTTGTTTAGAAGAAAAGCCTAGAACTGGGGAAGACAGTGTTCTTTCCCTTAATAGTTTATCTCTCACGTTGGAGAGAAATTACATTTCAGGGAAGGTCAGCACTTAAAGATTGTTTGAAATCTTAAGATAACATGTCAAATTTCAGGTTCCAGCTCCCTTAAAATTATCCCATGTAAGAGCTGTAGGAGTTTTTTTTAAGAAGAACAAACCATCATTATTTTAACGTAAATGAGAAAAAAAATAATAAAAAAAATATTTCTTTAAGGAGACTTCACCTTGTGTAATACTTTCAGTATATGCATTTTCTTTTCAGCTGGTTAAAATACCTAAGTTTAAGCAAGGGAAGAATGATGCTAGAGAGCAGTGGTGGAAGGTGTTGAATGGTGTCTTATTCAGTATGGTGCAGTTCTTGCCTAATCCACTCTTCTCATGTAGCTTCTTAGGCTCTTGTTCGTAAGATTTCCTGCATGGGTTGCAGCATTTAGGATATGTCTAATTTGACTGTGAATCTCAGTTGCAATCACAGTAATGGTTGAGGCTGGCAGGGCCCTCTGAAGGCCAGTCTGGTCTGACTCCCTGCTCAAGCAGGGCCACCCAGAGCAGGCTGCCCAGGACCTGTCCAGGCTTTTTTCAGTATCTCCAGGGGAGTATTGGATCAGTGTGGTTACGTTGTGCAAGTGTTCTCTGTATGCCTTGGGAGCAGATTTGTGTCCTGAACACACTGAATTCCTGTTGCTTCTTGCTTCTACAAGAAGTCTCCGCAACATCTCAACATCTCTGGGCAACCTATTACACTGCTTGGTCACCCTCGCTGTGAATAAGTGTTTCTTGATGTTCAGATGGGACCTGAACTCGACTCCTCCCATGTTTCAGTTTGTGCCCATTGCCTCTTGTCCTGTCACTAGACACCACTGAAAAAAAAACTACAGTTCTTTTTGCGTTTTGAAAACTCTTGCAAAGCAGCATAAAGTGTTTCTTTTTCTTTCTTTTTTTTTTTTTTTTT